CGGTGGCAGTAGGTTTGTGAAGAAAGTAGTATAGGTATTGTGGTGAGTTATCGTCGGCATTTCCAATGGAATAATTATATGCGTCGTCATTGCCAACAATATTATTTATTTAAAAAAATACATTTCCATGTTTACTGTTTCAAATTTTACGTGTTCTAATTCTATTTCATTCACATTCCTTTAGTATTAAATGACTTACCCCCTTTTTTTCTTTCTTTCAATACTTAGAAAGATAAATATATTTTCCAAAAATTGTAAATTATTAGTAACCTTTATTATAATTTTTTGTCAAATCAAAAAAATATTCACGTTTTAATGTTTTTGTTTTTCTTCTTGCACTAGAAAACTGATGATAACGGCTAAGCCATCAAAAGCTGCTTTTTCAATAAATAATATTGTTGGTAATGACGACGCATATAATTATTTTATTGTGAAGAAAGGTCTGTTTGAACTATAGGCTCAATGAGTAAGGAATCAAACCGCAGGAATTTAAAGGTTAAAATTAAGGAAAACAAATTAGTGTAACATAGAATAAGGAAGGAGCAATTTTAAACTTGAATTAACTTTTACGTAGAGTAAATATGCTAGTCTTTACAGCTGCTCGTGACATATTAAGCTTCACTTTTCCTTTTGAACAACAATGTTGGATAGGTGCACATAAAATTGTGTGCGATGGGCGCGTATCACCCTCAGTTCTGTTTTAATACGCTTGTCGGTCAGAGTTATTAAAGGATGTCAAAACAAATATATTTAAATATTTTATGTACCGGTAAACTGCTCAGACAGAAATTGCACAGACAAATTACGAACATTTACTGTTATAGCTCCGTATTCGAATAGTTTATGTTCTGTGTCGTAGAAATAAATGAGAACAGTAGGAAGTGTGGAAACTCTTTACTGCTGTGGCTGACTGTATTGTGTCTTCTGCGCTCCACAGTTGAAAGCAAGCAGAACGAAGAGTGGAGTTCTAGACATCCCAGTTGATCACTGTTCTGGTGTTATATGCTTTGTCCATTAAAGACACAGTCACCCGTTCTGTGAAAGTGTATAGCCCAAGGAATATGGACCTTGAGCATCAACGTTAAAGGGAGAAATGGTGCCAACAAAATGTTTTAGCATAAGATGTAATCTCTTCAATTTGAATTTGCCTTTATTTTTTAGTATTTTAAAAATACATTTCCTTATCCTATAGAAGGTGTTTCGCCATATCGTTCGAAGCTGTTTTGGCCATATTTCCTAATTTCCTGGAACCGGTATTATCGTTCTACCCGAGAGATGCAATTCAACAAAGACGATGTTGTAGTTACATGACCGTCGGCTTAATTTACATTATTCCCAGTGGAGAGCGAACTAAACGAATAAATATTCACAGGTTTAGTGTATACAAACTGAAGAAACAGACAAGGCAGGCAGCCGCAGATAATTACGATAATATCTGTGATGCTATTAATACTATTCAAAGGTTGAACTGTACGTTTTATTCTGATCC